ATATATATATATATATATATATATATATATATATATATATATATATACATTCTCCACTAAATAGAGTATACATTTCTTCAAATAAAAGAGAAAAGCCGCGCTGCGTCGCCTACGGCATGTTACGGTTGGCGACGCCGCTAACCGTCGGCGACTTGTTCCGCCTTCAGCAATGCAAAGTGTAACTTAGCTTCTCAACAATAAGGTATATTTCTTTGAAAGGCATATTGCGTGGTAGATGCAATGTAGTATCGAATCACATTGACTAAATAAAGTCGATATTTCTTTGAAAGCAAAGCAAAAAGCAGTGCTGCGTCGCGCTGCGCCGCCAACCGTCGTCTACTGTCGCCGACGCAGCGCGGCTTTTCTCTTTTGATAGAAGCAATATATACTTTATTCAGTAGACAATATGTTCTATATTATAACGCATATTATAAAGTGCGCCTGGCGCAGCTTGACGTCTCCCGCGGCCGCTTGCTGCCGCCTCTACTGTGGTCGTCTTTAAGCAATTTGTAGATTATACATGCAAGGATGAGAAAGTCCCGGGTTTCATTACCGTACCGGTAGAACCAATTTCGGAAATGTACTTTTCAAAAGTGTTTTTGGCCTAGGTGTTCTGTAGCTCTTGGTGGGGTCAGGTGAACTTTGTAGCTCTTGGTTCTGGGTTTGACTCCCGGTAGAACCAATTTTGAAAATGAACTTTTTCTAAAGTGTTTTTGGCCGCCTAGGCATTTCGGGTAGTGCCGCGGAGCGAACTTCGTAGTCTTATGTCCCGGGTTAGACTCCAGGTAGAACCAATTTGAGAAATTTAAACTTTTCTAAAGTGGTTTTGGCCTAGGTCTAGATTAACTTGATGAACTAAATTTAAAGAAAAGTATATGAACTTTTCCTGATCTGTCGTCAGACAACCACCAGTGCCCGTAGCATGATGCCGCAATAAACCTATTATAGCCACATTTAGCTGTCAAATTAAATTGATAAAGCTGTTATTTTTTTATTTTTCACTACAGCGAAAATGGCGAGCACCGTGACGTCACGTTTTTGACGCACAGCGCGCGCCTCGACCAATGGCCGCGAAACAATATCGCAGTGTCAAACATGGTCACAGCTGATTTTAAAACATTTTGTCAGTACTACATGGTAATTTTATCAATGTAAAAATTAAGCGTGACAAACGAAATAAACAGAAACAATAAAAAGAAACAGCATGCGTAGTGTGACAGCATATCGCATGCAATATGTGATAAACACTCCGTGACATAAAGCTATTTTGCCTTTATTAAAATTTAATGTTTGTTTGTTTGATAATGAACGATTTTTGTTTCATCGTTTTACAACGATGCAATTAAAAGGATTACAATTTTCCCGGCGATGATTAAATGACTTTGTCAATATCTTATGTTATTATTATCTTACTATATTATGTAACAGTTGAAAACCATAGGAAATGAAACTATTTTTCCGGGTCAACCGTGACCATGGGACCTGCAAAGGGCCCTAAACGTCGGTTTGTTTGAAAAAACAAATATACGCGATTTAAATCCGGAAAAATAGTTTCATTTCCTATGTGTAACAATCGCGAAAACCTAAGAACTCAATATGTACACCACTTTAGAAAAGTTCCACCTAGGCCAAAACTACGTTAGAAAAGCTCATTTCCAAAATTGGTTTTACCGGTAATGAAACCCGGGACCTTCTCATCCACGCATTATTATTTGCATGTATAATCTATATATTGCTTAAACACGACAACTCATCCATAAAGTAGAAGCAGCAAGAGGTCGAGCTTCGCCGGGCGCGTTTTATAATATGCATTATAATATTAATAATAATAATATATTATTTAATATAATTTATAATAATATTAATTAATATAATACTGTCTACTAAATAAAGTATATATTACTTGTATCAAAAGAAATTTTGCTTGGCTTTCATAGAAATATCGACTTTGTTTGGATAATTTTATATATAATATTATATACTACATTGCATCTACTACGTAATCTGCCTTTCAAAGAAATATACCTTATTGTTGATAAGCTAAGTTACACTTTGTATCGTCAGAGGCGAGACCCGGGTTCGATTCCCGGGTCGAAAGAAATATTTGTATCGTCTACATTTATTTCTCTAGTGAGTTTAAGTCTAATTTAGGGTTGACTACCTATGTGTGTCCATGGCAGATACGGGGTTTCCCTAGTGCGAGGCTATCGATGGCATACACTATATTTTTGTGGTCCAGAAGTTCTTGCCGCTACCCGCGTAATGCCATGCTGAAGTGTGGGGCATGTTTGTCATCGTCATAAAAGGATTTGGTAATCGGCGTAATTAATGCACTCGACGATTGATGCCCCAGATGTACAGAGGACATGAATTATAAGGAGGCTCCTTTCGGGCACCCCAACTTATTTCAACTCTTGTAAAAACTGTACGCAAAAAAAAATCCTTTAGTAATTAGTTTCAACTAGACTGTCACTTTTGTTTTATAAAGAAACGTCGTCTAACATTAAATAATGGGTCGACGGCAACATGATCCCAGAAGAACTAAGTAGAAGACATCATCATTAGATAGAATTGTACAATTTGTCTTGTTCTATAATGAATATCTTACTGGTGTATACTAAGTTGTACGTGTACACAGTCTTACATCAAAATTAATTAAATTAATGAAATGAGATCTTGCGATATGTCGCTCCTCTTGTAGCGCTCTATGAGTAAACGTCGCTCTAAGTTGTCGGATAAGTTGTACGTAAATCGTTGCATTGAGAATACCAAGCCTTTAATAATAAATAAATCAATAAAAACGGAATAGGTTAACTTGCTTTTCCGCGAAGACAGTGAAAGTTATATCTAAAAGCAAAATATTTGCGGGTTCAAGGAGTTAAGTACCGCGTGTCGGCACAGGATGGCATTACTTGTATCACAGATTACTTAATAGTGACCACGTAACACATACGTCACTCTCACATAAAATCGAAAATACGTTACGCTATAATAGCCTACTAAATCTGACTAATTAAACCGGGTGCTCATTATGGGAAAACAGGAACCTAGGTACGCACGAGAGGTGAAAATAACGTTGCCCGCTGTCTGCAGTCGTGTGGAACCGAATGTTGGAGTTGTACAAGGATTTTAATGTAAATGAAAGACTTGTTTGAGCACTTGCATTGTTGGCGATATACTCTGTGGTAGGCATTTATCGCGTAACCTCGTGCGAGTGAAAGAGTCCTGCTTGTACGGTGAAACGTTTTAGTACTTTATTCATACAATACCTATACAAGGCTCTCATGGAACAAACACCCTCACCGAGTTCGTAGTACTCGTCGACTAAGGGAAATCTTCTGACCCTGACGACTCTATCACTCTCGCCACGTTACAGACCAACCAGGTCACACTCCACAGGTCATGACCGTCCCACACATACACCCACAACTGGCCCTTCTAGCTAAAGTCTCCAGTACCGTTCTGAGCTGACACCCGCATCTGCTTGGCCCGCTACCTAGATTTTTAACGGGTTAAGTGCCTTCAGCAAATTTGGTTGTAAGTTTCAAAAGATACTGAATTGGTGTCCTTGTAATGGCTCAATACACTGCGCTTATCTTGAATTTTTTTCTACATGCAGTTAGATAAATTGTCCCACCCTCAATACAACACAAACACTCGGTTCACGGAGTAGCAAGCTAACTTACTTGCGATTTTATTAATATGGATTTAGGCAAAGTGATGCCTGATTCTATTAATCGTTTCAGGCATCACTTTAAATAAATCAAATAAAAAAGCTCGAAAGTTATGTTAAATATTCAAAAGTTTTTATCAACAACTTAATTGAGAGAGATCTGTTAGAATCACAAAATCTTTTTAATTTTTTTACCATTTCTTGTTAGAATATACGTAGTATTATGTGTTATTTAAGATTCTTAACTTGAAGTGTTTTTAATTAATTATTTTTTAATGTTCAGATTGCAAATGCGGTATGGTGGTACTACTTCTCGAAGCTCCTAGAATTCTGCGACACATTCTTTTTCATTCTGAGGAAGAAAGATGAACAATTGACGTTCCTGCACGTTTATCACCACTCGTCGATGTTTACCTTCTGGTGGATTGGCATTAAATGGGTACCTAGTGGATCAAGTGAGTGCTTTTACTGATTTATTTTTATACAGGGTGTTTAAAAAAGTACGTTTGATGATAGTGGGGTGAATCTATTACTCATGATACTGAATACTTTGCGGAAGCCACATCGCATTTTTTATGCTGTCCATCCAAAAAACTTAGCTGATTGGACTTTTTGAAATTATTTTTCGGGAGTTGTACATGACATCAAACAATAGACTGCATAACATATGTTACTGTGGTGCAAGTACAAATTTAAAAAATACTCTGAAGTGACTGTAAGATAAAGTTATCGACACAATATGGTGTGTATTCATTAGAAAGGCAAATTGAAGATCTTCGTTTGATGAATTGCTATAATTATTACCAAGGCGTTTTTGAAAGCCTTTACTTCGGCGTAAAGAACATTGTGTATGTACCTTTCTACAGTGATCACGAGATATGAGATTCACTGAGAAACGGCCGTCTTCTAGACAATAATAATAAAAAATTATCAAAAATATGATAGAAAAATCATATAAAAATCATATTTTATTGTAAAAAATATTGTAAAACCAAAAAGAAGTTGAAATTAAATCTAAAATATAGCCACCCTGTACGCATGTACAAGATCAAAACCATATCAAACTTGAGATTTACTTTCTATGTCGCTTAAAATAAGAATGGTTTAAAAGGGTGAAGTTTAATTTCTTGTTGCCTGTATTGTACTTTCCATCAAATAAGATTGTGAATGTAAGCATCTTACCTAGATTTTCGAAATAATAAAAATGAAATTTTCAAATTATAATATAAAACGTTGCAACGAATAATGTATTCGGCAAGATCAAGCCACGTGCGAAAATTAGAACGAAAAGTACCACTTATTACCTTCGGCAATGATTATTAATACTGTGCTATGAAACATAGAAGATAATTTCATTTTTTATTTCTTAATTTAAATTCATGAAAGTATTGTTGGATTAACTTACAAAAGCTTAATTCTACTTTGATTTGCAAATAATAAGTTATTTGTTCATTTTGTTAGTGTTTATTTAGTCATGAGTAAAATATCTAAATAATATGTAAGAAATTTTCAAACGATGCTTTACCTTGTTTGATCTCTTAGAAAAATATTTAAATAAATTAGTTAGGTTACGTTTTCTTTGATTTTTTACGTAAAGAAACGAAAAATTTCGCTTTCACCAAATTACAATATAATTGTTCAGCATTAGTAAAATTGACATGAAAATTTACGGTTTTTTTTTCTTATTTCATCCTCCTGTTTTTAGGTATTCGGTCAAATTGCAAAAACAGGCCGAATATGCCGAATACAAAATAATAACGGAATAACCGTTACAACACTAATAATAACATAATAATTGTTCGTCTGGTGTTGTTGGTAGAGCTTTGATATTTTATCAATACCGCTGTCAAAAACGGTGGTATATGAGGATGACAGTTTGTTACGAAGTGACAACGGTTTGCCTCCTCATGGGCACTCACAAACAAACTCATTGAAATTGAAGAACGTCGCTGTGATACCGTTCCACAAAATGATATCGATTTTTGTCATATTATAAACCTGTCTCAAGACATGTGCTTTGAACAATTCCTACAGAGCTTTTGCTGCGCAACATGATATTTTAATACTATCTGAAATTAGATATCTATAAAAACTTCCAAATATTAGAGGGAATAAGTAAATAAACATGAGACAAGTTCACATACGTTGGTCTGATCCCAAAATAAGTAAATAAAGTGCTTGTAACGGTAATGAAGTAAACGGTATGAGTTATTTTTATACATATATATGTATATATTAAGATAGGTTTTCGCGATTGTTATACATGGGAAATGAAACTATTTTTCTGGATTTAAATCGCCTATATTTGGTTTTTCAAACAAACCAACGTGTCGGGCCCTTGACAGGTCCCATGGTTGCAGTTGACTGAGGTGGTAAAGTCGTAACCATGGGACCTGTAAAGGGCCTGAAACGTTGGTTTGTTTGAAAAAACAAATATTTGCGATTTAAATCCGGAAAAATAGTTTCATTTCCTATACCCATCATTAGTTACAATTACTGTGATCACGTAAACGCCCAGTGCACATTACAATGATATCGCATTAAAATTTAGCACAGTAAATTCTAGATGACCATCGAATATTTAGAAAAATATGTTTTTCGTATAAAGCTGGTAAAAGTATACTTGCTTGGGCTTGAAGCATGTGACTATATTTCATCATCATCAACCCATTTATACGCGCAGCTGCTGGGACGGGCCTCTCCCAAAGTGGTCCCTACGGGTACCCTGTGAGTGGTGAAGAATCCTAGGGTGCGAGATTGTTACACATAGGAAATGAAACTATTTTTCCGGATTTAAATCGCGTATGTTTTTTCAAACAAACCAACGTTTCGGGCCCTTTACAGGTCCCATAGTCACGGTTGACTGAGGCAGTACAGTCATCAACCAGTTATGTCTAATATTAATGGAAACCACCCTATTTTTTCACTATGGTTACAAAAGTTATTAATTAAATACCTTATTTTTAATTTTACAAAAAAAATTCCAATTTACGCTATACAAATTATTTAATTGAATGAATTTTTATTAAGTTATATTTATTATTAATCAATAATAGAAATTAGGATAAATTAAAACATATTAATTAGTACTACAGTCTTATGTCTGTTTGGGATTTTTCATCAGAGGATATACTGGATCCCAAACTGGTGGTACGGAGACACCGTCTTCCCTGTTGAAATTAGTTATATTTAGTACATTTCAATGTTCATTGAGTTTTTAGCGATTTTTAAATTTTATATTGCTGGATTTTAGGTGGATGTAATACGTAAAAGAAATGAAGATAATTTGTGTTTGAATTTAAACTTTATTATGAAATATCAATTTCAGCATTCCTACCTGCCATGGTGAACAGCGGTATACACGTTCTCATGTACACTTACTACGGTCTCTCGGTCTTCGGGCCCACCGTCAGCAAGTACCTCTGGTGGAAGAAGTATTTGACAATCTTACAATTGGTAAGTGTCCAATAACAATCGCATCAGTATTAACATTGCTTTTTAGTCCTTACCATGTTTTATTTTATGATTTCTTACGATGTGTTACAATCGCCACGTCTGGCAAGTGGGTTCGCGGGTACAGTAAGGCTGGGAAAGGTTTTTTAAATATTAATAATATTTAAAAGTTTGGTTTAAATATTAATAATAATTAATTGTTAATTGATAGGATATTTTGGGTTAGAAACCTGTTTGGTCTTCCAGATTCAGTTCACTTGCGCTCTAATCTTGGGCATCAATGGCATCCGCACCGGCTGCGAGTTCCCTCTATGGATGCATTACGTGCTCATCCTGTATATGATCTCCTTCATCGTACTCTTCGGTAACTTCTACATGAAAGCTTATCTTGCAAAGGTGAGATTTAAATTCAAATTAATAATTTTTTTTGCTAAAAAAGCGGACCACGAAAGTTAGCTCCGCTTTCGACTTGTTCATGACCGTGGTCTCCTGAACGATAACTGAAACGCATAATATGGAAGGCGTCGTCAAAACAAATAATATGAGCTCAAATACAAGGTAACTGCGGTACACTGTTGAGGAGTTCCTCACATCTGTCTGCCATTACATCATTGTAACATTTTACTTTCAGTAGAATAACATCCATAGAAAGTGGGTGAAATTCAATAAACTGGATTCATCCCCTAATTTTCTATCCTTAAAGGTGGATAACTACTGAGAAAAATATGGTCCTTTTTCCTCTGTTTCGACAAAAACAAAAAGGATCTTCGAAAGCAGTTAAAAAATGTCGGAGTAATTGCGTAATGTACACACAACAAAAGAACAGTTGAATTAAAAACTTCCTCCTTTTTGAAGTCGGGTAAAAACAATAAACACATTTTAAATAGGGAATCTACACTAGTACATAGTTGTTACATTAATATAAAACTCATGCTATAGTCACTATAGCGATAGCGATGAATAATCCATTCATTCAAATGTGTACCTTATTTGTACATCATAAGTAATCTTTCAAAATAAGACACAAAAAAGAATTAAGGCGCGATCAGTTCCTAAGAATATTTTGCTGTATTTACGTGGATTCCTTATAAACATTTACTGGACTGCAAATTCAAAGTACCATTCAAATTTTAAATAGTAACTAATTCAAGTACCCGTGAGAATACAGTCAAGTTATAAATAACAATGTCGCATCTGCCTTGTACGGTAAACAACTGATCTCTCGAAATAAAAATGGCGCTTTCTTTCTCTTTCTTTTGCCATACATAGACAATGTACATAGGCACTGAGTTTGCTTTAGCTCTGGATGTTACGAATAGAATAGAATAGAATCATTTATTTCATATTAACAATGTCACAATATTACAATTAAAAATACAATACCAATGGATAATAAGATCGTCACTAACTCAAACAATAATAATTAATATAAAATAAAGTAGTATAACTACTGCTTGTATAAATACAACAAAGTCAAGTAAAACAAAATTACAATTGTTTCAAAAGAAACTCGTCGACGCTGTACAATTCATTATCCAATAATAGGAGTTTTTGTCGGGTATTAGACGTTTCGTCGTCTGTAACACTTTTCAGGTTTGCGGGTAGATGTTCGTAGAATTGGGGACCTTATTACCCGTGGTTTTCTCTATGCGAGTTCGGTACGGTGGGCAACGGATTTTAGTATTCCCGCGTTCCGCAAAGCGCGGCCTCCGCCCGTACGTTGCTCATAAGGGCTCAAGTTTAAGCTCGCGTAAACTATTATATTATCATAGATGTATTGTAAGTACGTCGTCATTACATGATACTTTTAATAAGGTTTCTGCAGGACTGGCCTTTTTTATACTTACTATAGTTCTTAGTGCATTCGACTCAGTTGAGTCACCCCACAGTGCAATGCCGTACGGCATCAACGAATGGAAATATGCAAAGTACGTCTGCCTCAATACCACATTGGACACAAGAGGTCGCAGTTTCCTTAGTGCATACGTAGCACTTCCAAATTTTTCACACACAGACTGTATATGTGATTTCCAGTTTAAATTTGACTCTAACGTGAAACCCAAGAATTTACAAGTGCTGCACAATGGAGCTGTAGAGGTGGTAATTAGCCATGGTATAGAATTTCTTCCAGACAACAACATAAGATTTGACTTCGATGAGTTCAGAATAAGTCCATTCGCAGAGAACCACTTACATAGTTGCTTGTACGTGTAGGCTATATTTTCTTCCAACTCCTTATAGTTTTTAGCACATACTATAACGGTTGTGTTGTTCGCAAATAGAACCACCAGCCCTCCTGATATAAAGTATGGCAGATCGTTTATGAATGCTAGAAATAGTGTAATGATATTACCTAAGGCTGATCCCCGTGGGATGCCAATGGTGACGTCACCAGTAGCTGACCACTTATGAGCACTCTTGACAAAGATAAATATAATATTGACAATAAGATAAAAAAATCACACATCCAAAAAAAGATTAACAATATCAACCATTGGAGGCTCTGCATGACTCAATTACATAAATTTTGAAAATACCAGGAAGTAGTTGTAATAGTAGTTCTACACTTGAAACTGAAGAAAGAGATGCATTGTATTCCTAAACTAAAGAAGAAGAAAATCTGTGCGATGTGTCCCTTTGCAAAGCGAAAAGCATTGCACTAAATACAAAAAATTGTTGTGTTGTGAACGCGAACTTCAGGTATGTCACAAATGTTTTAGTTTCCAGATTTGTACCAAAATGTTTTGTTGTTTAGTTCATTTGTTTTGTTAATTCTAACAATTTATGTTTTTTTCAAACATTGTCTTTATAAACTTAATATGTAAGCAATTTAAATATTTCATAAATGTAGATTTTGCATGAAAACTATGATCTCATATAACAGACTGTTTCTAACGAATATGTTGCATAATAATAATAAAAGCATAATAATATATTGGTATATAATTGTTATTAAAAATAAACAAAAAAAATACATATTTTATTTCACAATACCTGTGAAATCCGTCTTTTTATAAGCGTAGTCGAAACGACGAATGTTCGTAATAAGTGTTGAAAAATAAGGTTAGTAATCTAGGGTTAAAGGGTAATAGGGGTAAACTGCACATTTATAATATAATTTATGTTGGTGGAAATTCGTAAATGGCATTGGATTACTCATATTTATGTATACTATAATGGTATTATTTGTCCGTGAATTTTCCTAAAATTTATAAATAAATAAATAATTTTAGCTACAAGTATCTGGTAAATTTATTTTGTATTTTCTCCAGCATAGCTTTATACTTGGCTTGGTTTTTGCTAATATTAAGATACCAGACAATTTATGCTGAATGAAGTCTTTTTGCGTAAGCCACAACCGCACAAATGTCAGTACAAAATTTGTAGTCGTTATATTTTGTTTTTTGCTTTTTGTCAGTTTTGTCTTATTTTATGTTATTTTATTGTATTTATTATTTTTTTATTTTGTTTTTCTTGTCTGTGTTATCATTTTTTCTATGTCTATGTGTTGTGGCGTTGCAATAAATGTCTATTCTTTTCTATTCAATAGTCACAACTTTTCACTATAAATGCTGTGATTTCAGACCAAATTCTGAGTAGTAAGCCGGAGTGAATTTCATTGTTTTGGTACTCATTTTGTATAAATAAATATACACACTAACGCCAATTGGTGTGCATAATTTTTTAGACGTCACGTAACGGCCTATGTCTGCACATAAGAGCGGTTACACACGACGTCTTTTAGCAGCGATGCAGTACCGATGCAGTCGATAATCGTCGACCTTTACACACGCGCACGATTTTAAGCAGCGATGCAAGCGCGCGATTTTAAGCAGCGATGCAAGCGCGCAACTGCAGCCATAGATAAAATAGCTCGTTTGTTTCGAGGCAGTCGCGTGTTTACATCGATGCAATCGCCTATAAATCGCAAGTGTAATCGCTCGTTTCACGAACGCTAGAGCTACTTAGAGGTTTAAATGTCAAAGTTCCTGAAATTTAAATTGACAAGTCCCATGATAAGTACATGTCTCACCAGCACCAAAATAAAATGCAGTAATGCTCATTTTATTACTTGCGGCAGTAATAGTTATGGTGGCAGTATTTCCCTAAACGAAAATTTTCACAAGCTATTCTTCTTCCTGTCCTAATAAGTGGGGTCGGCACAACATTTATTTTTATTCCACTCTCCCCTATCAGCTGTCATTTCCATACTCACACCTTTCTTATCCATGTCATCTTTCGCACAATCCATCTATATTTTCTTCAGCCTTTCTTTCCCCTTATATTCCTCCACATTCATACCTAACCCTCTTCTCGTCACATGACATTCTTCCCTCCGCATTACATGCTAACCTATTATTCCTCATCTTTTCCGTCATTTGTGCCACTTTTAAACTTACCCTGCTGTACTCATTCCTTATCTTATCCTTTCACAAGCAATACTGCTACTACGAAATACCTTATTTTCGGTCTACATTAACCTACAGTTTGTATCAAATCAAAGAATTATATGTGTAAATATATGGCAAATGTTGACGTAAGAAGATTGGTGGATAATGTTCGGTTTCGGAAGCTAAATTAAATTGTATGTCTTTCTCAGCTACGACACTAGTGTCAGATATTGCAGTTAGAGAGGCAAAGGGTGATAAAAGCATACCCATGTCGCCTCTAGGGTCGTGGAAGTGTTAGTGTTCACTTTTTCTGTTGGTTTTTACGACATTTACGTTGATTTTGAAGAAATAGTCTTGCGCCACTCAGAACTGTAGTTGTAGTGCCATTCAGAACTTTAAATGCTACTGCGCCCGTCACCAAGTTGTCAAGTCCCATGTACTTGTGATTTCACCAGCCTTACTTTTCAAAATCGGAATGCATTAATGTGAGCATTACTGCTTGGCGGCAGAAATAGGTAAGTTACGTTACGTCACGACTTTCATTTTTTTCACCGTTAAACCGTGTCATATTTTAGTAAACCGCAAGTAAAATTATGCCTATTTTATTCTTATGTGCAAATTAACGCAAAAAAACTCGTTAGTGCAAACCCGCCAGTGTGTACGCTTAAAAAGCCATTATTACGTCGTATAAACAACCACACGGTAAATCTTAGAAACAAGCGCTTAAGTCACAAACCACACTTACATAACAAAATCTCACGCAACGCATTAGTCAAAACTTTTTTTAATCAATCTGTGCAAAAACGCATTATATTGCATTATTGTACGTCATGTTCCGTTAAGTTACGTAAGCACGGAGAAAGTACCGAACGTTGTTCGTACATTTTAACTTGAACCCTGTCCCTTACCTATTTACTTCAATGTTTGATGCAAAATAGACGGAGTTAGAGATCTTTTCATGTTGAACGGCACATGAAATGCAGACCATTATGTCATGATGGTCAT